TACAGCGCAATGCAGCAGCCTCACTGCACATGTATAGGTGCCCAATGTGCCTTCCCAAATACGTTTTTTGTTAAAGGAGCAAATAAAATAGGATGCAAGCATTATATTATTCTCCTTTTCTCCACTTCTTCCAAATCCTCTTTAATGAGCCAGTTAACAATCTTTCCCAAAAGTGGTAAATTACCCTTGGGCTTCGCTATTCCTCCCAAACTAGGAGAGAACCCCATTCTACATTAGAGGAGCTCAAATATTCAGAGATGGGCTTTTGGAAGAAATTTCAAATCAGCATCTACATGTTGAGCCCTGTCACAAAGAAAGCCAGCAGGCTCACCTGTGAGCGTGCAGCAGACTGCATTCCAGATTTGGGTTCTTTTTGCATAGCTTTTATTTAATTTGGACACAATCAAGGGTGATATCCATATCCTGCATCTGCCATCCTGCAAAGCCTTTCTTAGCCACGCCTTGTTACCAGTTCAGCATCCAGTGGGGCGTTGCATCCCAACACCTTCAGCAGCCAGACAATAACTTCTCTTTTGAAGAGTTATTCTCTGTTTTTATTTCTTTAACCCAGATGGACAGCCTAAAAAGGTTCGGAAGGTGCCTCCTGGACTCCCCTCATCGGTAAGCAGCACTGCACAAGCATCTTGTGCAAACATGCCATTGAGTCATGTGTTGTTGTTTTTTTAACGGATCTATCAGCTCAGTGCCTGAGCCCCAACTCACGTTTTCAGGTTGAAGCTTTAAAGTTGATTTGAGCCTCCCATTTCCAACAGTTCCCATGGGCAGTAGCCTCTAGCTAGTTTTACTGTACTCTATACTGTAATGGTGACCTAGCATACCTGCTGTTGACAAAAGGTTTGAAGCACTGAAAGGGGGAGAGGGGAAGGGGGATTACATGCTGCAATGGGAGAACATTGGAAGACTAAATACTGCACAGCTGCCTGGAAGTGCAGCAACCTAGGAACTTGATAGAATTGCTCATAACTCTTCTTCGTATGCACAGTCACTGTTGACTAGTGCTGCCTGGGGTGGAGGAAGGCTGTGGTCTGGCGCTGTGGCTTGTTAAACTCCTTTTGTGATGCCAGAGCCTCCTGAATCCCAGTTCCACCTGAGCAAGGAAAAGATAGTGCATCAGTTAGAGCTCTAGATTTCTTGGTTCTCGTCTATTTGACATTAAGTCGCAAATGCCCCTATGAAATGTAATATTCCACGTGATCAGATTTCACTCTGAAAAGGAAAGCAAGCCAGTTGCAATGTGGGCAGGCATGTGGGGCTGCACCAGGTGTGCAGAACTGCCTGTGTTGTTTTATAAGAAAGCTGAGCAGCCTGTAGGAATATGTTGGCCATACTTCAGTGGCTGTTATAGGGGAATAAATTAAACAATGTCTTTGTGGCGGGGAGTAATGGGATCTCCAGAAAAGTTAATTGGAGCAGACTGCAGTGCAGCTTTGCTTGGGCCTGAAGTGGCAAAGACCAAGGCTGCATTCTACGCTCCAGCTTTTGTGCCACTGCCTGCGAGTGAATGGCTTCCAGGCTGAAGGTAAATGTGGAGCTAAAATTTCATCTCGGGTGGAAGCCTCGCTGGCTGGTCTGAGCGTTCGGTACCTCTTGGTTTGGGAGCCCAAATGCAGGAAGAAAACAGCTAGTACAGTTGGCTGTGGACACAGCTAGCCATGCAGGAAAATAAAAAGTGCTGTGTCATTTTTTCCTATAGAGCAGGAGTGTTGAATGCACAGCTCACAGGCCAGATCCAGCCCGTGAAACTGCTGTGTCCAGCCCACCAGACTGCTGGCAGACCCCTGGAAGTCAGAGGGCATGGCTGAGAGTGGTAGCTTGTTGCAGAATCCCAGGGCCCTGGTGGACATGATTAGTGGCAGGAGTGAGCGCAAGAGGTGACATTGCCCTGGTTGCCTTTGTGTGAAATCTGCTGTGATCCTACCTCCTCAGCTACAGCAGCATAGCACATGTGGCAGTTCAGTAGGGCTGTGTGATGCTTCGGGTGGTGAATCTCTGAATCCAAATTGAATCAGGGGACCAGTTTAAAGGTCCGAATCGATTCAAACTTCTCCGAATCTTTGCCAAAGACTCAGATCTTTGATGATTTGGGCAGTCCGTGGTGGCTGCAGCAGGGAGCTGCAGCAGACTCTGAGCTGGTAAGTACTAGGGGTGGGGGAGCGGGGGCTGGGGACCATGGGGGGGCCCCCCGCCCGCCTGCCTGAGCTCTGTACTTTAAAGAAGAGCCCTGGTGCTTGCAGGGGGGCAATCCCCACTGCTCCACGCTGCATGGGGGGGCTCTGCACGAGCCCGCCGACCCTCCCCTTTCTCCCCCAGCCCCCCCACGGGTGCCTCGCTTGGGCCAGCTCCATCCCTTTTAAGAAAAAAAAAGACAAAAAAACCCCAGGGACTTGCTGCTCCTGCAGCGGCCTTGGGGCTTGAGGGGGCTCGTGCAGAGCCCCCCACGTGGTACAGGGCAGCAGGGATTGCCCCCACCAGCAGGAGCGGTGAGTCTGGGGTTTTCTTGTTTTTTTGTTTGTTTTTTTTAAGCAAGTGCTGGGCGCTGGCCATTGCCAGGCTGGGAGAATGGGTGGGGGATGGATCTGGCCTGGCTGATTTGGAGATTCAGAGATTCGGCAACAGCCAAATCTCTGAATCAGATTCGGCTGAATCGAATCAGGACAGTGATTTGAATCACTATCCCCCGAATCACCCAAATCCGAATCCAAAGCAAATACTGCCACTTCACACAGGCCTACAGTTCAGCACAGGACACGTGATTCTCTGGGTTGGAGTAAGATCTGCTGCTACCAGCTCCTCGTGCCCCGGCTGGATCTGGCCCACAAAAAACTTGACAGTTTGGATCTGGTCTGGGGCACCAGGGGAGTTTGACACCCCTGCTGTAAAGCAAAGGCCCTTCTGCCATATGTGCATTTCTGAAAGGGAAATTTCAACAGTGAAAGCACAGGGAAACCAGAAGTGGGACTGAGGCAGGGATCTGGGCCCAAATAGTGCCGCCTGTCAATGAAGGGTGGTTGGAAGGCATCGGTGCTTTCTGGACAAGAGCTGCCCGCTGCTGTCAGTACCACAGCTCAGCTGTGGTGCTCCCCTTTCCCCGGGGCTTTCAGTTTTCGTGGTGGCATGCGCTAGCAGACGATTCATGCCGCTTCTTCCGATTCACGTGGAACTCGGAGTATCCGAACTCCGGTGGCTTCCCAGCGCTTTTGCTGGAGATTGTGGGGATGGGAGGGGGAATCATTGCTCCGTAGCCGGTAGCTGTTAAACAGGGCTGCTGGTGGGTGCTGACAGTCATCGGCCTCCTGGTTTTGGTGATGCACGAGAAATGCTTCAGAGGGACTCTGATGCCTGAGCAGTGGGTGCTCAGCACCACCTGAAGATCAATCAGGCTGTGTTAAGACGCCTTTAGATTGGATCCCCCAAAATCTGATGCAATCTCTGGCTCTTGTTGAAGCTCAGACCATGCTGCCTGCAGCAAAGAAAGCCCAAAGGGGAGCTGTCCCAAAGCACTTGTACGCTTCCGGCGCAGGATTATTTTACTTGATTGCTCGAACAGACACAGGGAGCTGCTTTCCAGCTCCATGAGAGGCATGCCCGCCTTTTGAAAGAATAAATGCTAAGGCTGCCCAGCGAGGCTGGCTGGATGTGCGCGCAGCTCTGTAAACAGCGTGCTGCCGTTGTAAAGTTGCAGCAGCCCCCACCCTCTTCCTCCCGCCACGGCGGAGACGGTAGGATGGAATTTACTAGGCCTAATCTCCCCGTTGTGTCGTGGCTCCCCGGAGGGAGGATGGAAGGTTATGTAATGCTTAGCAAAGTGCAGCCAGCCCTGAATGGCAACAGCAAGGGACCCGAGGAACACAAATGGCTGGAAGTCCTGCGTGCGCACGCCCTCCCTCCCCTTTTCAAAGCAAGCTGTTAAGGGGGATTCAGCTTTGCTTTTTGCCTCTTCTTGGAGAACTCCCTTTCCCTGGGGTGGGGCTGGGACACTCTGCCCACTTTTTCCATAACCTACCTCTTCCTTTTTTTTTAAACCTTCATGCAGAGAGAGAGGAATCTGCACCCACGCAGAATTAACTATGTAGCCAGAGAGCCCTCCCCTTTCCCCCCGCCCCCCAGGCAGTTGATCAAAGGAGCTTTCTCGTCTGACTCTGTCTGCAAACATGCGGCGAAAAGAGCCTGCTCCATGTTATCGCTGGACCCTGTGCAACATAAATAGATTAATAAGCACCATGTTAAAAGCAAGCACTTTAATTTTAATTCCATAACCGCTCCAACAAGGTGGAAGGGTCAGCGGCTGAAATAGTTGAGGGTGGTTGAAGCAGGGCAGGTGCTGCCAAAGGCACATGGTGGAAGGGTACGTGGAAGGCCTGGGGCTGCTTCCTGCTGCTCTGACGATAACGGGGATGGGACAGGGACAGGCTACCCTGTGGGTTTGAAGTTGGCAGGTCTGGCTGTGAATGAACCTAACAGCATTTGGCATCTTGTTGTAGTGTGTAATTCATGCACAGTCCTCCTGCCTGTTTAGCTTTGGTGAAGTGGGTCTTCAGGTGCTGGATCCAGGCAGACACCGGATCTCTTGTACCATCTGCATCACTTCTAAACACCCCCATGCACAGCAGGAACTACGCTTGTTCCTAAGCTCACTTGAGCAGTAAGTCAGGAGAGCCACGACGGGATCTGGCGGTTGGCTGCCTATTTTGTATGGCACAACAAAGAACGAGGCCCAAGGCAGAGTGTCTGCATTTAACTATCCCACATGCAAGAGCGGCCCAAAAAATGCCTTGGGGAAACAGGTTAGAGCTGTGCATGTAGAGCCTGCTGCTGTTGAGATCAGTGGGAATTTCCTGTTTGCTTCAGTGGAAGCAGGCTCAGCGTCTTACTGAAGCTGGTGGTACTGACAGCCAGCTGAGAGAGCTCAGTGGCATCAGAAACCATGGAGAACAAATGGAGTTAAATCCTCTTGTGTGGAGCCCAGAAATCCCCCTTTCCAGCCAGCATGTGCCTTTCATCTCCCCACCTCCTTGCACCACCTTAAGAATTGGTTTTTTGGATGTACCAGACCCTCCATCTGAAATGGCATTCCTAGGAGAAAAAAAAATCACCTTGTCAACATCTCAGTTTGCCACTTGCTTGGCTTGAAAGAGGGAAGAGGCTTTGTCTGCACATGGGACTTGCCAGCACAGCTGAGTTGATCAGGAGTGTGAAGAAATCACCTCCCCAACCAACACAGCTGTGCCAGCAAAAACCCTAATGTAGACAGTTACATCAACAAAAGGCCTTTTTTGTCAGTGCAAGCTATGTCTACACTATGAGTGTTAGCCCAGGTAGCTGTCAGCCCATCCAGGAGTGACCAGGTGAAGCCGCCTAGCTCATGTTGTGCAGAAGCTCCAAAAAGAGGCTTGTGATGGGCTCTTCTGGTCCTCATGCTTGTGGGTTTAGAGTATTGCTGCTGGTGCATTTTTCCAAACCAAGGGGGTTAAAAACTTTTTTGCGGATGTTTGGGTTCCCAGCGCTCACTGTAGCGTGCATCAGAGGGGTTCCAGACTTGAACAACAAATGGTGTTTGCAACATTTGTCCTCTCATGAAAGAAGCTAATCAAGCCTCCTACCTTTTGCATTTGGCCTTGAGTGACGATTCCACACGGTGCCTTTGCTCTGCATGGGACCCGGGGCTGGCGGGGGTGCCTGATCCCAAGCAAGCAGGTCTGAGCACCAGCCTGTGTTGTCTGGCTTTGCCCCTGAGCCCACTGGAAATTGGTTTGTGCGCACCTTGAACGGTTGGCCGTGTGAGGGATCTGTTGCAGTGCTGAGCATGGTGGCTGGCAGCTAATTTGGTGCATAGGTTTGTAGTCTGGTGGCTGCTCCTTTTAGTAGTAGTCTGCAAGGATTGCTTGAAGTCCCACCCCAGCTTATGCTTTTAAACGTGAATAACAGAAGGTGGTGGGGAGGAACCCTGAGAATCACAGGGCTGGAGAATTTAATGCAGCTTTTTGGCAAGCTCCCTCCTTTTACTTTGTGCTAGCAATTTAAACACAGGAAATGATCTCACCTGTAGGTCCCAGAGGTCTGACTCTCGCTGACGGAGGCAAGGGCTGGGGGTTGGGTGGGGGAGGAGAGACCTGGCTATGATTTACTGTTTCCTGTGGTGCTGGATGTAGAACGTGGATTTTGTCAGTGCCCCCGAACGCAGAGGCTCTTGGCGGCTCCTCTCAGCTACTTTGTGTATTGTGAGGACAGGTCTTATCTCTGACCCTCAGCGATGCCCTGTGCGGGTACTGGTTGTGGACGTTGAAGATGGAGGCCAGGGTTGGGTGGCAAGTTGACTGGTGATGGCTCACCCTTTGGAGGAGCCCAGATTGCTTTAAGTGATGAAACAGAGGAGCCATTTCCACCCCTTTCCAAACTGCTGTGCCCACTCCTGTCCCTGCTTCTGTGACCCCAGGCAACACCCAAGAAACATCTTTGAAGCTTCCTTTTTCCTTTTTTCTTTCCTTAAAAAGTCCCTTAAAACAAGCAGCTTGAAATTTTTGCATCTGTTGTCTTGAGGCTTAATAAACAACCTCAGAGGGTATGTGCATGTGTGTGTACCTGTACGCACACATGTTCAGATGCAGGCACACATCCTTTCTTTAGACGCGTCTTTGCATGGCTGGGGAGCATGGATCTGTGGGAGTGAATTGGGTGGAGAACGGGGGGCCAGAGCGCGTTAATGAGCAATTGGGCTGAAATCTGATTCCTTCAAGATAGAGGTTAGCGGATGGGCGGGGAGAAAAGTTCCTAGCCTGGAGTATGTGCAAAGGGGGGCTTGCACGTGTGAGCGTTAAGGAGCTGGCGGGGGGGGGCGGCTCCAGCAGCCTGGGAGCTGCTGTGCAGCGAGGTGAAAGCATTGGCACCTTCGAAATCCTGCATTGAAGCCTTCCTTCACGAGGATGTTTCACTGGTTTTTGATTCTCACTCAGGATTTATTAAATATATGGTAAACCTCCTTTCCCCACCCCCACCCCCTTTTCCTCTCCTCTTCTCCGCTGCTGCACAGCTGCCTAGAGAGCTGGCCAGGTGCCAGGGGCTGGCAGATGGTGCAGGGCTATTAGATGTGCTTCATTCGATTCCCTGTCCCAGCTCCCGCTATTTAATCAAATTATAGGAAAAGTCAATTTACTGGATTCTTATTCTTTGTAGCCTATTCCATTCCCCCGCTCTCCCCAGACTCTGCCACAAACGCACGCCACAGAGACGGGGTATTTTTTTTTCCATGAATTCCACTTCAGTGCTTGTCCCTGTGTTGAAACAGGGAGGTTATTGGAGATGCAAGAGGCAGAGGGCTGCTCTGTTTTGGGGTTTTTTTCTTTTTTTTATTGAAAGGACGGGGATCAGTTGTTGGCATCTATCAGTTCATTCCTTTCCACTTCCCCTCTGGTTTTTGGAGTTCACAGTCCAAAATTGTACATTAGGGTCTATAAAGGCACCATCTGAACACGGCGAGATCTTCAGCAAAAGACTACGAGTTGCAACTTCCATAGTCTCCTGCCTCTCCCGTGACCCAAAAATCCCTGGTGACTGGTGGTCCCGGCTTTCTGGCTACCATTGTACCAGCAGCACTAGGCCAGCTGGGGGACTCTGCTTTAGGCTTTTTGGGGTGAGGGGAGGAGGATTTTTAACAGCTCCAGCTCACTACAGAGTCTTCACCTTCTGATCACACCAAGGAATTGTGGAAAGTGTTATAATGGAGGCGAGGAGGCTGTAAATTAGCTGCATGGGGTTGTCAAAGAGCTACTGGAGGGCGGGTACCTTTTTTTAAAGCAGCACCAGTCTGCAGTGTGGGAAGGCAACCCTTTGGCAAACGGTTATGTCCTTGTTTGTGCAGGAGGGAAATCTGAGGCAAATTTGGGTGGCGGGGGAAGGATAAGGAGGAATTTTAAAGCCTCCTTGGAGTACATGGTTCTTTTTATTTGGTGGGGGGGGAATCTGGAACATGAATATTTTGTGCATCTTGACCCCATTAGATTCATCCTGTTGCTGGCTGTGGGTGTCTGTGGCTGGCTGTCCTGGGCTCCGGTGGTATCCCCTCCAGAATGGGTGTTTTTCTTGAGACGGTGTGTTTGGTGTACGCCACCCTTGGGCGCTGCCAAGAAGCCCACCCTGCCCATGCGCTCCTAGTGCTGGAAATATGGCATAGCTTTGAGCTGCTCTTGGGTTCTTTGTCGGGGCATTTCATGGCAGGCACCCAGGGTCCCTCTGTGCTGGCTACACTGCCTGACTGCAGGGATTTGGTGTGTGTGCAGCAGGAGTGAGTAGGCAGGCCTTAGCAGGGCTCCCAGCTGTGTACCAAGTAGGGTGGCCATTGTAGAGGACAGTCCAGTTGCCCTCTATTGATATGAAACTGGGCGCCTTTATGTCTCTTTTCTTTAAGAGAAAAATAGAGGACATATAAAGGCATCTGGTTTTGTATCAGTAGAGGACAGAGTAGCAGAAAACTGGCATGTCCTCTATGATGGCCACCCTAAGGCAGTGCAGACCTGTGAGCCCTCTCTGGGATGAAGCCGCAGGAACTTGACCAAACAGACACGTTGATTTTAATAGGAAAATGTGGTGCTTTTCAGAGCATGTCTCTCATCATTTCCTATTGAAACCTATTTTCCTCCCTATTTGGGGCAGTTTTTAAAATAAAGAGCCGTTCTTTCCCCCCCTCTTCTCAGTGGATCCTTGCTCTTTAGCTGATCAGAACTGTTCAAAGTAGCAGGATGGGAAAGGGAAAAGAAACTTGCTGCATCACTGCAGGTTTCCTTTACAAACAGAGATGCTCTTTCCAGTCAATGATGGGCCGAACATGCCTGGCAGAGTTGCTGCAACCCCTGGCCTCTGCTTTCATATGTATTTAAAAAAAAGAAAAAGAAAAAAGGTTTCAGGATGAATCAAAAGTGATGAAAATAGGCTCTTCACAGGTTCCCACGTCAATTTAAATGACATCTCAGTTTCTTTTACGTGTCACATTTGTGTGTGTGTTTAAAGAGACTTTATCACTAGCACAGAGTGGGTTTCTGCAGAGGCTTTCCAGGATCCATTAGATCAAAGGCCCCTTGTTGCTCCTGTCTGCTCTCCTCAAAGCTGTTACACCTGTCCTATGCATCTAGCATCATGAAAGACTGCTGTTACCATGCACACAGCTAGGCCTCTCCTGAGTCCCTCACTGAGGGATGACCCTTGTCTTAATCCTGCAGTTTCACTGGAGAAAAGGTACTGCGAATCATCATCTTCCTGTAGTCTGAAATCTGTAACCTCTGAAATAGAGGCTGAAACGGAAGTTACAGGGAGAGGATATGGCCTAAATGAAGGAATCCCCCAGCAGGAACAATTTATGTGTGTGGGAGGGAGAGAGACTGTGCACGCCCATGGATGCACACATTCATCCATGCATCTGTCCCTCATTCTGGGTCTCTGTCAGGCCATGGCCCTTGACAGCAGGAGAGGTAGGTGCAGGACACAGGCTCCTGTCCCAGAGACCATTGCCCTTCGGAGATGAAGACGGAGCGGGCTGGGCCGCGCTTGCCTGCAGAATGTGGCTCTGTTAAATCATAGAGCAGTGGGGCAGGAAGGGACCTCCTGAGGTACCTAGTCCAGCCCCTTCCCAAGGCAAAATCATCCATATCCAAACCATCCCATGCAGTCCATAATCTAAATTGAATGAGGCCATAGGTGCAGACTGTCCCTTCCCAGGCTGGGTGGCTCGTATTGAGCCATGAGTGATTGTGGTTGACCACTGCCCAGTGCTTTACAACGCTGCGCAGCCAGGCTTTTGTCCTATAGCTAAGGATCCTTATGGTATTTAAGGGTAGGGTTTTCAGTGGCAGCACTGAAGAGCCACCTTAGGGCAAAGAGCCCCTCATTGATTAATCCCTGTGTGCACGGGCCTCCATACCTTCCCTTCCTCCGGCCCCACAAGCGAAGGTAGTAATACTGTTCTTTATAAAGCACTTCTTGACTTACAGATTGAACGTGCTCTTTAAACCTTGGATACCCTGATTATGGTAAAGGGCCACAGCATAGCATGTCCTTTTGAGAGCAGGGGTGAACACTAGCTGTGCCCTTGCTCCACCCTCTCCTGTTTCTCTCTGGAGTTGACTGGGCACTTGGGTTTTGTATCCAGAAATAATCTCTTTGTGGTTACCCATAAAAAGCCATAACCACAGAAAAGGGAACTCAAGAGGAGAGTTGAAACTGCTGCTGGTGCTAGCCTGTTCTATAGCATCCAGAGCAAGAGAGATCAAAGCCTTACAGGAAGGCAAGGCTCATTTCTGCTTTAAATCCACTTCTTCCCCCTCACCTTGTCTCTGCCTCCGCACCTTCCAGATGCTTCCAGTTGTGTGTCGGAGGCAGAGCAATGCGAAGGCTGTTGGGGCAGAGAGAGTAAGTGAGGTGATCACCAGCCCCCACGTGGAAGGTGACCAGCGATGCAGGAGGCCACAGTAGGGTTAATGTGACATAAGGGGAGGTCAGTGGTTGTGGGGAGGTTGAAGCACACCTTTGCAACCAGGATATCCTGGATAGCCAAGGGTGTCGCTTCTTGGCCTTAACTTTGGCTGAACTTCTCCTTTCTGCTGTGGGAATTGGCTGTGTTGGCTGTAATAAGTAAAAAGAAGCACTAGGGCAGCCAGCCTGAGGCAGGCCAGGCGAGTGACACAGTCTGGCAGGCAGGGCATTGTGGTCGGCAGGCCTCTCTCTGACTCTTGCGCCCCTCCTCGTCTGCCACAGGTGTATCCATCCAACTCAGGTGATGACTACAGCAGGGATCCAGCGGGATATACTCCCTCGAAACCTCCTAGCACTGTGTATCCTGGAGCCTTCTACATGCCAGGTCAGTAGCTGGTGACCCAACTCCATAGCAGCTGCTCAGAGCTGAGCTTTCCCTTCCTGTCATGTCCTGAGCAGCAATGGAAGTGATTTCATACCTATGCCTGGTGCCTGGGTGCAGGTGTGGATGCCTGCTGAGCCCTGGGGATGCCCATTCATTTGTAAATAAACCCAATAATGGCATAATCGCTGCAGCACCGCCCCTTGCTTGTTATGGCTGATGTGTCCCTTCCTACAGCCTGCCTTGCAGCACTTCCTTAATGGAAGTTGTCCCAGTGCTCGCTAGACTACTTGGGGAGAGCACTTCCTAGTTCTGTGTACCCCTAACCCAAGGAGGTCCTCGTCTGTCCCTGGGGGCTGCTGTAGGGTGGGCCAGCAGCATGATTTCTTAGTGCTGGAGGTGCATGCCATAGGTTTGACCCAGTTACTCTTGCTTCTCCCAGTTGTACCACGATGGTGTTTCTAATGCTTGTCTTGCAGATGGACTTCATAACTCGCCAGACCTGTGGAGTTCATCTGGTACCATGAGCCAGCCAAGCTACGGGGCCATGCTAGGCAGCTCCTCTTCCCCTCTCCCACAGTCCGGTGGCTTCAGTAGTTTACATCAGCACGAAAGAATGGTAATGTGCCTCTTGGACAGCTGTCCTTGTGAGCAAAATGCATAGGTTGTTGAAGCACAGGACAGCTTGCTAGATCTCCTGTGTTCTCTTCCCAACTTTACCACAGGCCCTTTTGGGACCTTTTCCCCTCTGTGCCTTCAGGTCCTTCTCTGTGCAAAAGTGTCATGATGCTTGCTTGCCCCTGCAAGGTTTGGGGAGACTCCTATAGACTTTTAATGTCCCTGAAGTGCAGCATTGCTGTCAAATTCCCTCAGCAAGCATTAGCAGAAGGTGGATTTGCTGTATCTAGAGCAGGGGCGGGCATTTATTTTGGGCAGAGGGCCACTTACTGAGTTTTGGCAAGCCATCGAGGGCCGCATGACAGGCAGTCAGGGGCAGATAAATATTAATTTTCTAAAAATTTTAGGGGCCTCGCGGGCTGGATTGAATGGTGTGGTGGGGCGCATCTGGCCCGCGGGCTGTGTTTTGCCCACCCCTGGTCTAGAGTGAGACTCATGACTCTAATGAACATAGTTAATGTCAGTCATTATCACAGCTGTGGATCTTCTTGCAATGATGCTACTTGAAATAGCAAGATGCAGTCAAATTGTAAGATACGTTAAGGATTTGAAAACTTTTGCTGCTAGACCTGTGGGGATGTGTCTGACTTCCGTCAGAGTAGCACTGAGGACCTTTCAGACATCAAGGAATGGTTCTGTAATACCTGTGTGCACAGGCAAGTATTATGCTTGTTCTACAGCTGGATGAGCTCTGGTACAGATTTAGGGGATAGGAAGGTAAAACAGTTGATAGCAAAAGGATGTTCCTACAAGGATATCTTATTAAAATGCAGCTGTTACTGTGGTATGATACAAAACCACTCTGGCTATAACCCTGCTTCATCCAGGGTCAAAGTTGAGGCAGTTAGCCTCTTGTTGAGGATCTTGCAAACATTTGCATGTCCCTGAACAGCAACTGCCTCCCAACTCCCCCTGTTTTAAATGCTGCTGAACTGTATGTTTGTCTGTGCCCCTAAGTTATATGAGGATCCTGTCTCTTTCTTGGGTGCTTGAGTGGCTCAAGTTACCATAGTACTTGAATACCACCCTGCCTGATGTATTTATCATTGCGGTGTCCCAAGAAAGTAGGGGACTCAGACCCAGAGAGATGAAGTGACTTGCCTGAGGTTGCCCTGGGAATGTGTGGCAGGACAGAAAGTTGAAGCCTGATACCCAGAGTGTGGGGCCTATGCCATAATGCCTGGGCTGCCCTTCCTCTCTAGGGCAAACCAGGCAGCAGCACCCAGATTGCCTTCCTTCATAACCACTGTGTGCCTGCTGCAGTGTTTCCACTAGGCATGGGCATGCATTTTGTGCACCAACTGCCATTTTGTGCAGCTGGAAAATGTGCCATTCTTAAGACAGGAGCATCTGTGGGCTGTCTGAGCATGTGGTCTGCCCTGAAATAAAGGCAGCTGCTCACAGTCATGAAGGAGTTCAAGGAATGAACTGGGAACCAGCCTTAGGTAGAAGTGTGTTCAGGTTCTTCTCTGTTGGTTTCAGCACCCTGTTGGCTATGCAGGTTCCCCTGGGCATGGGGACTCGCACTGAGAAAAGCATTTCTCAGGCATTTATTTACGTTCTCCTTTGCTCCAGAAAGTCAGATGACTGTAAATCCACTTTAATGAGATGCAGAATCCTTATTATTCATCACTGGTTTGAATGAGGACAGGGGGAGAGTTCATAAAAGCTGGTCTAGTTCTTGTTAACCTTTGATTGTGTCCCTGTTCAGTCACTCATGTGTGCAAACACACATCAGGCAGGCTATAATGGAGGAACCTTCTCCCCAACCACAGCTCCTTGCCCCTAGAGCAACAGCAGAATCAGTTAAGCTTAGTATGGCCCCCTAGACCAGCCACAGCCCCTGGGAAACACCAGTGCTTTGATGGTATAGCAGTGAGCACCATTGATGCACCCTCTATAGCCTCAACACTGCAAGGGATCAGTTGCTGCTTCATGCTGACAAACGTTGGCCCTCCAAGGGTATGTCTCATGCCGCCTCCCCTCTTTCCTAGAACTACCCGATGCATTCAGGAGAAGTTAACGGCGGGCTCCCTTCTGTGTCTGGCTTTTCCTCTGCCTCCACCCCATATGGTGTCTCCAGTCACACGCCACCAATCAGCGGGACAGACAGCATGATGGGTAAGTAGCATCTTTACTCTCCTGGGCCCATGGATCTTTTGGCAGATGATTCTCACTCAGTTTTTGGTCTGTTCCCCACCCTCCC